GTTCGAGTTAGCGCGAGGTTCGAGTTAGCGCGAGGTTCGAGTCAGCGAGAGTTCGAGTTATCGGGAGTCGACTGTACTTGGTTATAATTCTAGGCCCGGTTAACTTTGACAAAAAAAGGTGTGCTTATCATGACCTAGTCCTTTCAACTTGTTTCCGCATTCGACGGCTTCAGCGTCCTCCTATGATCTTTCGATCTGCACTAGTGCATTCGCATCCGTTTTAGGTGTGATCGATTTTAGAGTTGAAATTCACACCTCTGAAATTAACGAATACTTATTTTTTTTTCTTTAATGATCAGTAACAACCAAAAAGAGTAAAAGTATCTTGACAAAATGTTAATGCTGTTCTGCGAAATTTACCGTGATTATCATGCATTAACTTACAACGATTTTCGGCCATGTCGTCCAATAGGTAAAGAATACTCTACACTAGCGTGTTTCTTCAAACAATCCCCGGTCTGTGGTACTATAGCGTTAAAACACTGAGAAAAAAAAAGCTGATTTGCATGCCTTTTTAGTGGCACTGAGTTGCTAGATGGAAAAAGTTTTCGTTGGCAAGCATGTAGGAATACTTGGCCACGCAATGCTCGCAAGCGAGCGATGAGCTACCGAACACAGTGTGCTATAAACAGGTAATCTGCAATGCATTAGCTCGAATAGTCAGGGAAAGCGAAAGGCGTCCATACTTCACAAGTGAATGCAATGCGCCCGGCTTCCTTGCTTCATAGAAAGTTACATCCTTCACACTTTCATTTCCGCGTGTTTGAGCATGAAGCTCGCACTCGAGTCGGGCGCCCAGAGAAAACAAGCAAGTGGTAAAAGCAATTTGACTTACCAAGCACGAAAACAAGGCTTTTAAGATGCATTCTTATATTATCTTCTATCATGAATTTGCTGTGGGGTTTTTCCTGACCTGTCCCTGCGATCGATTTGGAAGCAGCAACTTGTGAAACCAAAAGATAAAATAATGCAGGTGTGGCGTAAAACTACTGTTATATCTCTCTTCTGAATTTTGGCATGCAGAACAATCAACTTTGAAATTTGATTGGGCAAATCACAATATTGGGCCGACATGGCCGATTTCTCTTTTTAAAGCATACTGGTTCCCAGCACTTTTCGTTTCATTTGGCCTCGTAGTTATGAAAAAGAAGAGATTTCTCGCTCGTTAAAAAAGGTTGAGGGCCTCTGGGGACGAAAATCTCTCAAAGCGTGACTATGGTTTTATTCAGGTTATAATTCTTTTCATTGCAAAGATTTAAATTGTCTTAGAAACTGCTTTCAGCACTCTATATTGGCGATGTTCATGGCAAAGATGCTGTAAAGATACCCGTTGCATGCTGCCAAATTAAACAATACGCTTCAGCGTCATGTTTCGTAAACGAAAAAAAGCAACCTACTCTACACTGGGGAAAAAACAAGTGTTGGGGGGGGGGGGGGGGGGGGGGGGGGGGGGGGGGGGGTGGGGGTTTTTTTTCTGAAAAGATTTAAATTTTTTTTAAAAATTTGTTTACCTCCTTTTATTTGGGGTTGTTTGTGGAAAAAGTGGGTAAAAAAAACCCGTTCTATCTCGCAAAATAAAAAAAACCCCTTCGGCGTTATTTTTTGAAAAAAAAAAAAAAACACCCCCCTCCCCGGGGGAAAAAAAAAAGGGTGGGGGGGGGGGGGGGCGGGGTGGGTGGCGAGAGGCGTTTAGATAGTAGAGCGCGGCGGTCAGTGGGGAGCGAGTTAAGATAGTAGAGCGCGGTGAAAGCATGCAGGACGAAGACACGACAATGTGGAAGGAAGGTGAGAGATCATTTATGGAAGCCCAGAAAGGCAAAAAAATCTTGTTTGAAAGGGTATTTAGGCACAATAAAAAGATTAGTGCTTTAACAGAGGTTAAAGAAAATCAGTACTTACTACTGGCTGCATCTGGAATCAAATCCTTACAGAAACAAACCGCAGGAAATAACTGCTTAGTATGCATTACTGACACTCTTAATATTAATTTTAGACTCCGAGCGAAAGAAATTAGATTTGCTCAGTTAAAAGAAGGAAAACCTGTGTTGCTGTTTATTAAAGGCTAATTCAAAGGTCACATTTCACACTATCACGAGCTATATGATTCGCGTCTAGTCTTTCAACACTTTATTTCAAAATTCGGTCCAGCTGTAGTTCTTGTTACAATAGGCCATTTTACAGTTATGGATGGAGGCGAGGCTGGAGTTGACCTTGTTTTGATACAATCCTTCTTGTTTTATTATGTAAATCAAGTAATTCTTATGCTAACTAGTATTTTTCAAGGACAATTTCCATAACAAAGCAAAGGAGGTTTGTATCAAAACAAGGTCACCGTCAGCCTCACATTCACTCAAAGGCTAGGGTACTAAGGCCACAACTGTAAAATGGTCTATTACGCGGTCGGCGGTTAGTTAAGGGCGGAAAGAACTCTGTAAGGGAATGTTTACAGGTGTTCCCTCCCCCTTTCCCCCTATAGTCTCCCCTCGTTTTTTTTTCTTCGTGAAAATTTCTCCCGCGCTCTACTATCTGAACGCCTGAAACAGGCTAAATTACAGCTTATGTTGATACTGTTTTGCATATTACAAACAATGTATAAAATCTTTATATGAGAAATCAGTATATACGTAGTTGTCAAATCTTAAAACTATGGGCATAAATGTAGAAATAAACTACATTTACCTGAACTTGTGTTAATTGTTGCTTTTTCTGTGTAAGTTGGGATCATTTCTTGACCACTTGCGGGGTTTTGCGGCACGTTGTTAGTTCGGTCTTGTTTTTCTACATTTAGTGAGGCGAGCCAGGGTACTGTGTCCAACCTCGACTCTCAAATCACTCTCGCATCACAAAGCATCGCCCAAATTCGCCATAAAACTAAAGGACCAATCGACTACTCTTCTTTAATCCTTCCATATCATGAAGAAGGGAGTTTAAGATACCACGACGGCGACGACGGGGAAAACATCTCTTGCAAGGTGAAACTCGCAGTTTTTCAATCTCTATTGCAATGATTCCAACTCACCTCCTTTGTCTTATGCAAGCGAACTCTTCTGAAGTTGAATTGCTAAGAACCATATCCAAGTTGAAAGCAAGAGAAAGAGCGAAAATTTCGTCACCGTTTGTTCACGTTTACCCAAAATGTGGAACTTGGTAATTTCACGTCGTAGTCGTACAGTGACGGCAAAGAAATGTGCAAAAAAATGTGCTACACGTGCAGAGTTGTTGTTTTACATAAAATTCAGTTATAGGCCCTTTACAGCTTGCCATTCACGTGGTATAAAACAGCCCTGCTGGGACGCAAAAGTCGCACTGGGGCCTGATACCAACCAAAGGCATACATAATTTTTGTTTGTCCCAGTGCGACGTTTGCGTCCCAGCATGGCGATTTTGTATCAGGAGAATGGCAAGCTGCAAAGGGCCTATTGCCCATGAGACGTTCCTGTTGACATCGACGTTGTAGTCAGGTACGTCACTGCGGCCATATTAGTTGACAATAATAAAGTGTTTCAATCCAATTGGATCTAAACTCTTTTATCGTGCGAATTCTTGTAAACCAACATAGCCTCCTTGTCACGTTGTTGCAAACAAAGGATACGCTTTGTTTGCCTCTCAAATTTTCACAGTTACTGTTTCCAAATCCTTTTGGGAATATGCAGTCCTCCCGGGACTCCTCCGAGGAGCATTTGAAATATGATTTATGCAAAGTTTGTAGGCCAAAAAGAGTATATTGTGAGGGATTCGAAAATAAAGAATCCAAAAGTTTTAGCATTAGCCGTTCTCCACAATCGTCGTTAGAATCGGTTAAGATCGTCCTGGACCTATAGAGGTGATGTTACATGAGAGGATTCGCAACGACGATTTTTAGCCAATAGATCTTTGTCAGGCGGCGGCCATTTTGTTCCAAGATATTAAAAAGCTTTGTATTTGCACGGCTAGCCTCATTCTTACTGCGAGGCTAACTGTGCCAAAAAGAAGCATTTTAAATCTCCTGGCACAAAATGGCCGCTGCGGTGACAAAGGTCTATGACTTTGTTATAAGTGACTTACTCACAGAGCAGCCATAAAAATACCGGCTTAAAAGCAGAAAATTGTAAGGGAACTTGCGCTCTCTAACGGTAGCAAAACACAGTGATGAAGGAAGGGGAAATACACCCCCGGTCTTTAATGTTTCACGGTGGACCCCTATGAAAAAGCCCGAAGGTCAGCTGAGCCTGTTAGCCTTGAAAAAGAAGCGATGTGATCATAACTAAGCATTCTAACGCTTTAATTTGGTGAATGCTCATAGCTAGCGTAAATTATTTTATTTAATGAATATAACACATTTATTTATTACCTTAACGTTAACTTTGTTTTCATCTCCTTTGCATCTAAGTTTCAAGGAAATGATGACTTGCAACACAGTAGTAGTTATCAAATAGTCAGTTTCAGTTTCAGCTTTATTCTTTGGCATTCTTACTTCGTTGGTAACTGCCATTGATTACTATTAACACTTGAAAAAAGATATATATGCAAGATATATATGCACTTCAATTTTTTCGCTATTTCTTCTATCTGAAAAAGTGTTCTACTGATCGTTTTTCGTTAATAGGAAACGTTCGATTAGACGGGGGAATCCTAAGCAACCACAACGGTAAGGCAAAAAAAAAAAAAAAAAAACCTGGAAAAAAAAGGAAGCTACTGATACTGTCTGAGGCACTGCCCTGATTGCTCAACTACGGCATTGAAATTTACATAATACGAAAGATCCATAAAAATATAACCTTAAAAAATTCCTCTACATTAAGAAAAAGAAATAAGCTGACATTAAGCTCGAAGAAATATAGAGTGTATTCTCTTTAATGTTCTCGTTGCAGCCGTCGTCCTGGTTGCTAGAGGTTCCCATGAACCGTTTAAATTATACTTCAGCTCAAGAACAACACCAACAAAGGAAAAATTAGTAGAACCTCAAAAATACCATTTTTCACTTTAGGGGCTGCTGAAGTGACTGGGGAAATGGTGGACGTAAGGAACTGAGAAATAGTGAAAGTGGGGGAAAAGATGGAAGTATGAAAAATGGGGGGAGTGGTAGATTTGGTAGAATGAAAGGAATGAAGAGGATTGTCGAGTTTCTTCACACCATAGCATTGGTCATTTCCTGTTGCTTCAGGATCTCGATTATTTTTGCAGAAAGGATTATAGTCATTGTAGCTCAAATCTATTATTTCCTGGGTAGAAGATGAAAATGTACAAGCCGACCGTGACAGGTCCTTGAGGCACTTCTTTGCCTTGGCATTTTCCCTGTCGAAATGAAAAGAGACAAACTATGTCAGGATTTTTTGATGGTCGAAGGCGGACTGAAGTGGCGAAGGGGAGACAAGGGTTGATGGGAGTGGTGGGGGGTGGAGATTGGAGAAACGGGGGAGGCAGGGGGATTCAATCCATTTTGTCAACAACAACAACAATAAGCTGTATTTGCATGGCTATAACAATGTATTACAGTATTGCAAAAGCTACATGAAATTAATCATTGATTCCTTTTAAATTAGATATTTAAAAAAAATTCAAAGATATTAATCATTGCTTATTTTTAGCCATAAGTAGGATCAATTCCTCAATTTCCTCTTACTCTTCTTTCCTGATTTCCCCTTAACGGTGGAGTTAACCATCTGCTATATGAAATAATATATCCCTCTATATCATATTCTTTAACCCTTAATGGTTCGGCATTACTCACTGGATGAAAAAAAAAAGGATTTAGCACAAATTTGCTTCCGGCAAATATAGACTTAATATGTCGTCGCAAAATTTTAAAAACAGAATAGTAAATCTGAGGCAAAGATGGTAAAAGCCACATTTGCCTAGTTATTTAAAACACTCTGTTTTCTGGTAATATTATGATACAAAATGTGGCATTTACCATCTTTGCCCCTATTTGCAATGCAAGGAGCAAATTTGTGCAAATCCATTTTTTCGTCCAGTGACTTTCCCTATCGATCTACTGCACGTTGAAACTGATGAGATTTGTCAAGCTCGCCGTCCCTGAAATTCCGAAGGAAAAGGCCGAGGTACATACATTACTGAGTGGTGGAATGAGAGGAACTGCTGAAGGTCGGGAAAAAAATGGATAATTATGACTTTAAGCATGGCGAACTTCTAAACTATTTGCAAACCACTGACTTACACCACACCCTACAGGGTTATAGTTAATATGGGAGTTAAGAACAGTGGACTGTTCTTGGCACGTAGCTAACTGGGAAGACTTTAAATTATTTGTTTAATGATTCAACTTACGAGCAAAGATCTGGATCCGACTTGTCTGCAGCGAATTTATGATGGAAGGTTCTCAAACAATTGGTTGCATCAGTGGTATACGAGCTGCTACATGGTGACCCCACCGAAGGCATAGCTGGAACTGCCCATCCACCTTTTAAACACATGACATTTTCTTTGAAATGCTTGCGTACAATGCTTTCGATGCGACTTTGAGATAAAACATGTCCAGCACAAATATGCACAGTCTTTTTCACACAACCAATCAATCTCTCGAATTTGGCACTAAGGACGAAAAAAGGAAAATTCATGCATCTTGTCCAGAATTAATGGGAGACATTTACATGTTATGAGCGCCTGCTCTGCTTTCCTTAGTCCGTTTGTACTTGTCGTCTAGTTTAAATTGGACCGGTATCCCATACCATCCCATCCCAGGAATGCCTTTAAACACAACTCGGAACCTCAAAACCTCCTGTTACGGAGATCAGTCTCTGTATAACTGAAACACAACGTAAACTCACTTAACTTAACTGTAGTAACATGTATGTGCGTAGGAAAGCACCGAAGACGTTGAAAAACAATTGGGCAAACAAATGAAAAACAGTTGTTGAGGTATCTTCGCTTAAAAGACGGACTCCGATCTCTTACAATAAAGTAGACTGCTTCCAGTTGGTTTCTCTCTCGAATTTCGCCCGTGAAATGTCATCCCACTTGCTCAAAAAGATCAGAGAGAGAGAAAAAAAGTTGCCGTGCATACAGGAACTAGGGCATGTTATGGAACGTATTGAGGGGATAGGTTTGAGAAAAGCTGGACTGCAAGAAGTGTACATGCGCAGTGGAACAGTGGAATCTCTCAAACGCACAGTCACGTAGGCGGACAATTCCTTTAACCAACATCAATTTTCTCCTAACATCCATATGTTGCCAAGAGAAATGGTTATGAGAGTTGATAAAATGATCAATAAAGAGAAAATGCTCTGATCCGTTGTCAAACTCTCTCAACTAATTCTTTAAGGAAGTGTATGAAGATCAGTACGGAGAATTTATATGTGGATATTGGGACTAAGGGTTACAAACTCTGTATTTTTACATTCCCGTAAGCAGCCAGTGGCTCCAGTTACGGACATCTTTTTTACGTTACGAACAACTGTTCTGTACCTGCAATCGCCATTAGGGTCTTTCTGGAGTGTTTTAAAAAAGTCCGTTTGGCATTTCATGGCATCACAGAAATATTCCATAAATGTACATTTACCAACGTCAGGAAGAGCTGTTGTACTTCCAGATAGGATGGCTAAGAGAAAACCGAGAGGGGGATTATTGCAATAAAGATTAAATGATATTCAAACACAAAAAATAAAATAGATAAATGGATTAATCATTCAATAAGTTAAGACTGAGTGTAATTTGGCTTTTTGCAGCAGGTTATCATGGCGAATTGCCGCTTTTCCTAGCAGCACACTGTTGTGTATTGTGTCAGTTTACCACAATAATAAGCGAAGCGTCTAACAAAATAACCTAACGCTGACCCCATATCTTTCCTTTTAAGCTGTCTTACGAAAAGGGGAAGCGAGGAACAAGGAAGGAGGAACGCGGAACGAGAGACTATCACGGGAAAAGGGAGAGTGAAACAACTGAACAAAACAGAGAATGTGTGGGAGGATAGGCTTTGTACCCATTCTTCATTTTCCAGTCCTCAAGCCGGTTTCCCATTCCCCGTTTCTCATTTAAGTAACATTTCCTTTTATGTCCCTTTTGTTTCATTAAGGAGTAAAAACTTCATGTTTCAATTATTGCTCATCTTCAAAAACTGAAACTCAGATGACAGTCTCAGCCCTCGAATGTTTAAAAAGCACTTCGATATTTTGATAGAAATTGCATCTTTATAGCCCGCTAAAATAAACCACTGAAAAGGGATAAGCAGTTGAAACGCTATACAGCCAATCAAAATAGAGAATCTTTTAATAGGTTTGCGCCCTTTTCTTGCAGGTTGGTGAAATAAATCACGACGCCGTTTTAAAAGCCCAAATCATGGCTGACAAACAGAAAACAACGAAAAATTTTGTAAAATTCTAAATCTCTGTAGTGGGCTTGTTCACTGTCGCCTTTCGTTTGATGCCAAACGTGTTTTTGGCTTTATCTTATACATTACAAGAAATTCCGCCCATGATGATTGATGTGATAGTTGAGACTCAAGAATGCCTATTGTTGGGCGCAGTTGTTTTTTGACTGTTCAGTTTGAGTGCAAGAAACATCACAGAATACGCAAGCAAAACAAAGGTACTTTTCTTCACGAATTAGCGTGAAATGCCGTGGGTTCGGTTTTTGTAAAAAGGCAAAAGTCTTGAAATTAATGAAACCGAAGTTGGCGACTTACCAAACAAGAGAAGAATGCTTTTGAGGTACATTTCGCCGCTAAGATGACTTCAGTGTGGTGACTTGTTAACAGTTGATCTGTAGTGAGACTGATTTGAACTTGAACGGCCAACTCGCATTTAAAAGTACAACAAGAAGACACAATGATGCATAAAACACTTGATGTAAAAATACTGTAATATGGTCGGTGTACGTGGTATGCGGAATACTTGATCCTCTCGGAATTGAGATTGGGGCCATTTCCGATTTAAACCGTCCTTGTTCTTGAATCGAAACGTGGGTCCTTCGTTTTCAATACGCTGTCTTTGGAAAGGAAGTGAAGGCATCTTGTATAACAGGAAGAAACAAAGACGCGAAGAGACCAAGTGTAAAAATACTTTTAAACATGTTCCGGTGATGTAATTGGTACGTGAACGACTCCCCCCCTCCCCCTTCCGCGCTTCACAAGAAATATCACCCCGAGGCATTTATTGTCTTTTTGTCACATTGTCATAAAAAAATGAGGAGTCCTTACTTTGCTAAATTTTCTGACCCACCACTAAAACACCACTTAGTTTCTCTTAGACTGTTCAGAACATCACAGGGCAAAGCGTACAGTACCAACAAAGGAAAAAAGTGAGGGCGCATTAGGCGAATAAATGAATTTATGTTAAAGGCATTTGGGAATGAAGTTCTCGTCCAAGATTGTTTTGAGGTTCGACCGATTAAAAATAAAAATAAATAAATAAATAAATAAAAAATGACATGCCAGGCGCAAAAAGAATTTTGTGAGGTACATTTCTTAATTTATCTAAGGACTTTCGTGCAACGTGTTAACATGCATGTCTGAAAAAGTGTGAAAGCAACTTGTGTAACAGGAAGGCAAAATGATTTAAAGTGTCCGTGCGTAAAAAAACTGTAAATAACTTCCCGTGAACATATTTTAGAGGTTCATTTCGTAGCTTGTCTAAGGACTTTAACGGGAAGACAAAATGATGCAACGATATCGAGCGTAAAAATCCTGTAAAATATGTTCCCTTGAACATTTTTACTACAGAGAAACATTTCGTGGCTTATCTTACTTTGGTGCGACGAATTTCCATAGTGAAGGCATATCTCTGAAGAGAGTGTGAACAAAGCAAATTGTGTAACAAGAAGACAGAATGATGCTACCCTGCGAGCAGAGGCCCTTCGATCTTCCTAGATAACTTATCTAGGAAGATCGAAGGGCCTCTGCTCGCAGGGTAGAATGATGCAGAAACGAGCGTTGAAATACTGTTTAGTTTGAATTCCTTGTGCTTGGCGCGTGGAACATACCCCACCGGAAGTGGTAATGTAGCTATTTTTCTTATGCCGTTCTTATTCCCAGCCCATGCCGTTTCTTTCGATCACGAAGAAAACAAACAAACAAAAAACAAAACCAAGCTGCAATTTTGTAGCTTTATTTTAATGTCGTTAATTTTCTTGACGATTTTAGAGTAAATTTTTTGACTTTTATTAAACAAATGTCTGAGGATGTCAAGAAGGAGTTGATTTCTAAGTTTTAGCTAGCTTTACCTTTCGTTGACGACTTCTAAGTTTTAAGTATACCTTCTTTATTTTATTTACAACAATTTTAATATCCTAAAGTTTTCTTGTACATTTTTGGACCAAAACATAAAAAAAACATGCCACAGGTAAATAAAGGTACACACTCACATTCATGTTCATTAGCTTCACTTCGGCTTAACATGTCCACGGTCATGTTTAGTTTGTGTTACAATAAGTTTTTCGGGGTCGGGAGGGGGGAGGGAGTGGTTCTCAAGAAAACGCGATGATTTATAACAAAAGTTGTGTCCTTTGAACCCTGCCAGGGGACCCTTTCTTTCTCTTGTTCGATTCTGGCGTTACTCGAGACACTGCAGGACTCGAGCAAGTTCTTTGTTCAGCATGCGCTGCCTTTTGGTAGGATACAGTTTCGAAAAAGGCTTAATCGTCGAGCGCTTGTTACAGCGGGCTCAATAGTGACCTTTGGTTAATCAATAAAAGGATGTTTGCACTTGAAAAACCAGTTTGTCGAGAGAAAACGAGATTGACTAGTCTAGAAGCTCCGGCTGTGGCGGACTCAAAGGCTTGACGGCCGATTCAGGCAGAGCCCCTTCTCTTTCTCGATCAATAAGAAGAGAAAACGGGATCCTTCTAGGATCATTTTACGTTTTTGTGAAACTACCCACCTACCCCTCCCTTAAACCAACATTAACACTTAGGTCTTACTGAGGGCAAAATGTTGGCTTAGGGGAGGGGTAGGTGGGCAGTTTCCCAGAAACTTAAAATGAAAAGGACTGTGATCGCAGCGTGTCCCTCGGTGAAGTTATTTTCATATCAATTGACTTCATCTTTAACTAAAATGACTTACGTGCTTTGTTTTTATTCGTATTTTTGTTGCCCTTAACTTTACGTTCTTCCGTTAACTAGATTTACAATGCTCACATTTTCCTTTTTTGACAACTGCTTCATTTACTTCTAAAATCGGAATGCAGCATTTACATTACTGCTTGACATTCAAACATTGCTTCGCTACTTAAGATCTAAACATAGAAAAAAAGCAAGAGAAAAGTGATCAATAGAGCCTGCAGAACGCCAATTCTCATTCCAGCGGTTTCAGGACTGTTGTTCAGGGGATTGTTGAGGTCCTTCACTTCATCGCATTGGTCTTTTCCGGTCGCCCCAGGATCCCGATTGTTGTCGCAGAAAGGATTGTAATCACTGAATCCCAACTGTAAATCGAGCACTGGCTTGGTTTTAGGAGCAAAGGTACAGGCAGTTTCTTTGACATTCTTCAGACACTTCTTTGCATCTGCATTTTCACTGGAGATCAATGACAAGAGATAATTGCTGGAGTTGCAATGACGGATCGTTCGAAGGCTGGGAAGGGCCGGCGCTTTGCTCCTTACGAGAGATATACCTTCCTTTAACCCTTTCACTGCCGACTGTGGCCAAGGGCAAAATTCAACACAAACGTCCAATTTCATTTCGTAAAATTTTGAAAAACAAATATAACCATCTAAAAGCACAGGCAGAGATGTTTCATTTGAATGGTCACTCCATAGAATTTTGTCCACAGACTCAGAAGTGACAGTCTGGCAGTGAAAGGGTAAATTATCTGCGATACCCCTCATTCTTTTCAAATACAAGTCTTTTTAGTTGTTGTTGTTGTTAAATAGCAGTCAGATACAGTACACAGGGCTCGTACAGATTTTTTGATGTGATAATTAAAGACTATTTCCGAAAAAAATTATATCTTTTTCCAGTTCAAGGCATTTTCAACTCCAGAATTGTTTCCGTTATTTTTTTCAGTCTTTATCATTATTTTTTATACTGGTTTGCAACTTTCAATTCAGCTGTTTTCAAGAACTAAAAATTCCGTGCGAACTCTGCAGATAAATCGAAAGAAAATTATTTTTCATTTCAGTGTATGTATTCCCATCGGGGATCATTTCAATTAAACGCATAACCTTTTCTCTGGGTGATGTTGAAATATTTTTAAGAGAAAATGAATGTTTGCCACTGTACTCTTGAGACTTGGAGGGTGAATACATTGTATTTGTCATTAATTTTGTATTTCTCTGAAGGGCGTAAGGCTTTAGACACAGCTAGCACCGTTTTAAACTTAGGCCCCGTTTATGTGGAGAAACGTGGTCTCTGAAAAGAATGTCACCCTCTCAGTCAAGTCAACTTTAACGAGCGCTTATATGGAAAAAAACGTGACCCCTTTGCCCTTTCAACAGCGCTCGCGGATGCTCTGATTAGGGACTTTAAGATCCAACGACGCGACAGCAACGAGAACGTCGCTTAAAAACGTAAATTTACGTTCTTTCAGTCTTTATCGTAATTTTTCCTACCCCCCACTTACTTGTCAAATGTAGGCGAACCCTCCTGGAGTTGAATTCCTACGGACCATATCCAAGTACAGAAAGAGAAACAAAATTTCGTAGTTGCTTGTTTACGTACTCCATAAAAGGCGAAATTAGGCATTTTCACGTTGTAGTCGTGCAAAAACGGGCAGAGAAATGTGCAAACAAGCGTAATGCACGTGCAAAGTTGTTGTTTTGCTTATTAAACCTATTGTTTTTTTGACGTTCTTGTTGCCGTCCGCGTCGTTGGATCTCAAAGTCCCTGCTATTGTCTCCCCTTGACTGAGTTGTCCCGGTTAGGACCGGTGAAGTGTTTATGCGGAGTAAAGTTGGCCTGGCTAGAAGGGTGACCCTACGATCGAAAAAAGGTGACCATAACCCGCCTAGCCGAGCTAACTTGTTTCTCGTGTAAACGGTTCGCCAAGTTTTCTATGAACAGTTAGCTCGCCCAGAGTAGCTCCTGTAGCCGAGTGACCCTTCTACCCATGACAAGTTTTCTCCTTACAAACGGGACCGGCGTCGAAGATCAGGGTGTTTATAGTTAGCTGTATAGTACAGTCAAACCTCTTTCATAAGGACACAGAAGCAGGCATAGAAAGTGTCCGTATTGACAGGGTACCCGACCGTATTAAGCGGGTTGAATTTAGAAAAAATGTAAGGGCTTTCTTTCCCCAGGGACAAAGCAAACTGTCCGTATTATGCGGATATTCGTAAAGCGGGGTTTGACTGTATTCGCTCAATGTTTCGACTTACGAGCACAGTTCGGGATCTGACTTGTCTGCGTCGAACTTTTGATGGAAATCCCTCGAACAGTTGTTTGCAGCAGGGATGAACGAGCTGTTACATAGGTAGTCTAGCGATAGCAAAGATGGAATCTCCCTCCCGCCTTTCAAACACATGGTATTTTCTTTAAAGTTTCCGTGAACAAGATTTTCGATCCAACTTTCTGGTAGTACATTTCCAACACAAATTTCAACCGTCTTAATTACGCAATTGATCAGTTTCTTGAACTTGGCGCTGTGGATACAGAATGACAAAATGACCATTAGAAATGATAATGAAAAGAAACAAAACATACGTCGAGAATTGAGGCTAGCATGGTTTATTTGCATTTTTGATACGATCACCTTGCTTTTCGGTGGTTGGGATGTTTTTAATTTATGAAGGTTAGAATAACTCAGTCTGAGTGCTGATGAAGTTGAACTTGCTTTGGACACTTTTTGTTTTAATTAATATCCAATTGTGGCTAATTATAGGTGTAACCAAAATTCCCAGTTCCGGTCTCCGACGTGCCTTCAAACACACAGAACAGGATCCTCGACACTACCTCAGGAAACTTAACGCTCTATATTAAGCTCCTTATTGCTGATTTGCACGTGACGTCACGGCGGACATGTTAGTGGTCAAGAACAAATTTCTCTATTGTATTGAGCCAACATGGCCGCCTTGTCACGTGGTTGCAAACCAAGAATTGTTGTGATCCAGAAATTTTGCTATGATGGTACCTGACGTCACACTTCTCCACTCTATTATGTAGCAAAATAAAGCATATTTGAATTCATGGTGAATGATAGGGGAAAGTCGTTGGTATTAATTTTTATTAAGTAATTCAAGGATCTGCACTGAAAAAGTAAGAAACTTAAAATCACTCCCTTTTCTCTCTTGAATTTTCGAAACAATCTTGCTTAATAGCATGAGGATGTTTTTTTTTTCTCTGAACGGGCTCGCTGAGATAAATATCTCGGGGGTTGGTATTACCGCGAAAAAGTACGGCGGGATTTCAAGCCGCGGTAAGCCAAAGTTACGAACTGTACTGTACCTGCAATCTCCATTAGGGTCTTTCTGGAGTCCTTTAAAAAAGTCTGTTTGACATTTATTGGCATCACAATGATATTCCATATACGTACAATCGCCAATTTTAGGAAGCTTATCATCTTTAGCCTGACTTCCAGAAAGGATAGCTTAAAGAAACCGTTATGAATGTAAAATTAGTAGTTGTTACAAGAACAATAAATTCGTAAATCATGATCAAGATGGCGTTAAAAGTCATTGCCAATTTTAATAGGAGCCGAGTCGAATCATGTAAGGGAATCCAAGACAGTCTTGGATTCGGAATTCCACCGTGGATTCCGGATTCCAGGTGCTAGATTCCGGATTCCAATCATTAACAGGTTTCTGGATTCCTTGAGCTGAATTTCAGATTTCAAAGCCCGGGATTCCGAATTCCAAAAGCAAAATTCTCGGATTCCGGCATCTGAATTACCTTACACGGGGCGAATCAAGGATCGGCACATTTGGTTACTGGGTGATACGCTCCTAGTTACTGCCATGCCTTCCGGGCGAGAAGTCCCGAGTTCGATTCCCACGTGTGATCTCAAATCCCTAGTAAATTCCGACTTCTTTCCTGTCCGTGTAGTTTTAAGTAGCTGTAATTAAATACCCGCAAAACGTAGCACGGTTGGAAAATGGGAGGTAAAATTCGAACTGTGTTTAAAGACGCTTAACAATTTACCTTAATATTATTAAATGGAAGATTAGTTCCCTATTCCGGATCTTGATGAGCAATATTAATAGAGTGTTTTCACATGACGTCACGGCAGCCATATTGGTGTCCCAAAACAATGAAACGGTTTCCATGTTGGTGTCCCAAACCAGTCCTGTGGGAGTTGAACTCCTTTCTTATGCAAACGCTTTCTTTTGTTCCAATAAATTTGCATAGATGCTGGCCACTTGAGTGAAAACACTCTATAAAATATACAACTTTATACCGCAGATCAATGTCTGAGAATCGTACTTTTGTGAATAAATAACCCCTCTCTCCCTTTTCTCTATTATATGTCCCTTTCAATACTATTAAGGTGTCGTAACGTTTGATAGTCTATTCAAAAGATTACTATGATCAAACGATACCCTCACAATACCGCATCGACTTCGCGATTTCCTAGTATTTATCATTTATTGGCTTTGATGGCCTTTCGACACCCAACGCCGTTTCTGCATTCGCCGAGCATGCTCTCCATACATCTCTATTATGTGAGTCTTTATTGACACCTTTCGATCAGTGCATGTGATCGATTCCCAGCCAAAGAAATATTTTCCGCTTTTTGTCGTCTACAACAGAGGCTTTCAATGCAGAATGTGCCAAGTTGCGCTCTATATTTAGTCGCCTTGACTATCCAATGAGTGTTATTGATTCTGCTATCAAAAAGTTTCTTTTTCTAAATTCCTCAGCGAACAAAGCAGAAAGAAACAATGATGATAGTAGCATAGTAAGAATTAGTCTTCCTTTTAAAGATCAAGTGGCCGCTAATGCGGTTCGTAAGCAGTTACGCGATCTTAGCCATAAGATTGGCCCTACTTTGCAACCAGTTTTCGTGAGCAAGAAATTGGGGCAAGACCTCAGACCCAAAGAAATCAAGCCGTCAATTGTTAATAAGCAGTGTGTTGTTTACAATTTTTCATGTGATCTGTGCGATGCAGATTATGTCGGGTACACAGCCCGACACCTTCATCAACGCATTGCTGAGCACAAAAATTCGGCAATCGGTAGACATTTCTTAGAAGCTCACGGTAACAACAACCTTTTGAGAGAAAGCCAATTCACGGTTTTAAGAAAGTGCCAGAGCAAATTTGATTGTTTAGTATTTGAAATGCTCTTCATCAAGAAACTTAAGCCCAATTTAAATATTCAGACGGACTCCATACGTGCGAAACTCTTTGTTTAATATTTTCTCACGTTACAATTTTTAATCAGCTATTGTTGTTTTTTTTAGTATTTATAGACCAAAAATCACTAACTTATTTTGACTTGATAATGACGTTCAGCTAACGTCGAAACGTCGTCGCTTTTTAGCAATTTTTTTTAATCCTAAAATGATTTTAAGAAATGTTTTATCGCAATTTTTTATAGTGAAATGCTCTTCAAAATCACTTCTTGTTCGTATTTGCTGTTCTGCTAGCTTATTAACAAAATACAGAACATCGACCCTGGGCTATGTCTAGTTGTCGACATTAACTACAGTTCATTCAAAAAAGCTCTTCTGTGGTAGTGAAGGGTTTAAGCAAACTAAATTAAAGCGGAGCTAACTTCGCAAATGGCAGCTTGCATGCCATATGACCATAACTGTGCAAGACGCTTTCACTGCCGTCGGTAAACATCATCTGGAAATATTGGACCACTCTGTAGGCACATTTTCGTACACAGCCAGCAAAGCTTTAGCGATATTGTTCAGTAAGTTTATCAAATAAGGGCATGCGATAACTCGAATAGTCAGAGGAATCGAGAAGTTTCATGCCTCCCGAGTAAAGAAGGAGCTATCCATGCTTTACAACACGTGCTAGTGTTTTAAGACAAAGGCTGAAATAAATGATTATAAAAATATAGGCCGTGGACTTACCAAGCACGAAAAGAATGCTTTTCAGATACATTTCGTAAATGAATTTAGTCCTGTATTCAGAACAATTTGAAAACAAACAGGAGGACGAAGTGAAGCATAAAAGCTTGACGTAAAACTACTGTTACACGATCCCTTGAACCCCAAGTTGGTATGCAAAACACTTCAAACCGCAGTCGTGCACTCAGAGCGTATCGTTTGATTTGGTCACGGGATCCTGCAAGCTTAGAATATTTTTGCATATCATGCCCTACGGCTCTATCGTTATATTTCCAAATAAAAGAAAGAAACAAACTAAAAAAGAAAAACAGAGCACTCAGTCTCGGTCAGCAATTACCGAACCCTTGATTATTCCAGATATCATAACAACCCGCATCTAATAACTGATTTGTAATAAATTCTTTTAAAGAAAGTAACGGCAAAAACACCATCGCATAGAACCAGAAACCCATAAAAGGGTAAAACGTGTAACTCTCATATGTTTGTTTTGTCCTATGCTCGTGATTATTCATTTTCAAAAGTACCATATTTGGAACGAGAAGAAGAGATAACTGACCAATCAAACTTCGTAAACAACGTAACGTAATTTTCCTGCAGGTTCCCGCGCCCGCTTAAAAAAATGGACGACAAACGGGGGAAAAACTCCCGAAAGCCGAGAAAGCTTTCAAAGGTTGAAACCAGGAATATTAGCGAAACACTGAGCAGGATATTATTGCCTTACCACCCGGGCCAAACATAACATTGTGAAACCCATTGATGGCCTCCCAACTTCTTGAAGTTGTCACTTCAAAAAACGATGCCGCGCTGACCCTCTACACAGTAAACTTATACTGCAAATAGGCTTTTAAAATTCTTATGTTAAAAGTCTAGTGAAAAATACTTTCGAATAAAATTCATTAGCTGCGTATCGAAAGTGTCCAAAACCTGAACCTGACATCTTCGCAAAAAGTGATGCTTGTAATGAATGTGAGAAGCATTTTAAAAGAGCTTAAATTAAACTTAGATGTTGTAGTCACGATCGTGTTTTGAGCTAATTTTATGAATGAACAAACTTAAAACAGTAAACAGAGAAGCCGTTTCTTGAAAATTTTTATTCAAAGTCCAAAAAGTTAATCTTTTAAAGCAATTCGGAAAACACTATCTGGATCGTGGATCCGTTCACGCAAGTGACATCGGCTAAGCACATGGTAAAATTCAACACAAAATCCATCTCAAATCAGGGCACATTTTGTAATTTTTCTTTAGCGCCGAAGAGAAAAATTTTTTAAACGTCTATGAAACAATTAAAAATACATAAATTCCCTTTCAAAAATAACAATTACAATGGGCGCTTTCCATTTAGTCAAAATTTCCGGAATTTTCGGTTCGGCCGTAAATGGAACACGTTTCGTCGGTTCGTCCCACTGGAAAATTCTCAGAAAAAGTGGAAAATCTAAAAAGGTGGGCCCGTTTTCCCGGTTGGAATTTCCGAACGGAATGTCGTGTTCCATTACGTTTCTCGTAGTTTGTACCAGTTCCAGGTCTTCGGTCGGGCACCGCGACGTACCGGGGTTTACGACATAATGGAACAACTTTTTACCAATCGGAAATCCCACTTTTGCTCCCACCGAAATTTCCCGGTTTTTTTCCTAAATGGAAAGCGCCCAATAATAGTGGTTGCTAGGGTTCTTTTTTCCATTGTGTTAGGTGACATTCTAAAATAACTGAAAGTTTTCTAAAAAATGAGTTTTATTTTTCTACAACAAAAAGCATTGTTTCCAGTAATTTTTAAGACAACTTCTGTTATCTCTGATCTTATCTGGCGCCTTTTTCTGAGGAGCGCTAGCAAGCCTAAGGTTTAGTCACCATCGGTCTGAATTAAATATGCCGTTTTCAGTACTCGAGGAAGAATGGGTTCGTCGTTACAATCCTACACTGTAACAACCCATCACTGCGTCAACATACCGTATTTTCTCGAATAAGCGCCCTGGCGCTTATTCCAAAATTCGGCTAAAAGGAGGAGCGTTAATTGGAAGGAAGGCGCTTAAGCGAGGAAGGCGCTTATTAAGCTTTCCTTGTTAAAAACTGTAATTTTATTTTAACCTTAAATTTATTAAAAAAAAAAAAAAAAAAAAAAAAACCAAAGCAAACACTACCTTATCCACATAAACGTAAAGTCAATATTTAGGGTTGAATGTTTTTCGTTCATTAAACAGTGGTTGGTAATCAAGCGTTCCGTAATACCGTTATATTTACTCTAATGATCATTATATATGCATGTTTTTAAAATATCGATTATCTGATCATCTAAAAGATCATCCTCTCGTCAACGAGTGATATGCAGATTGTTGCATTCCCTTGTAAATCTCTACTTTTTAAGAAAGTGATGGACAGTGGAGGCAGACGGTTGTTTACTATTCTGGTTTAGGGTGTACCTGGACGCTCATTCTGGGAAGGGCACTTATTAGAGCGTGGACGCTTATTCGATGTATTGTTACTGATGGCATCATCTTTCTTTTAAAAAATTTCCATTTTATTTCTATTGTAACTACCAAGAACTGTTCTGAGAGAAAGGACAACGACAACAACAGCAGCAATAACAATTTATTGTACCCATCACAAGAAATTAATGTTAATTTACATGTTATAATCTACTGCTACCGAGAAATTCCACGGTGTCTAGGTACTCAACTATCGCCTTAATTTTCCTTCGTCTGGATGTAGAAAAACCCCGTCCAGGTAAACCTTTTTACTTTATATTAAAAAACGTAAGCTATTTATTAGCGTATTTATTTAAAAGCTTCCCTGCCTCACATCCGAGAACTGAAAACCAACGGCAACACAAAAGGAATAAGCAAGGCATATGTGACGCCAACTTTCATTTTAGCGGACGCAGGACCGTTGCTATGCAGGGGGTTGTTGAGTTTCTTCACACCATCACATTGGTCTTTTCCGGTTGCCCCAGGATCTCGATTGTTTTCACAGAAAGGATTCCAGTCACTAAAGCCTAGATCTAACACCTCCTGCTCACTAGACGTAAAGTGACAATCTGATGCTATCAGGTTCTTCATACACCCCTTCGCTTTGGCATATTCCCTGTTGAGATGCAGAGAGGTAATACGTCACTCTAAGGATTGCCAGGGGTAGCTCGAGGGGAATAGGGGGATTCTTGAGTCACCCCCTTTTATTCTTAATTCATCTGCACCGCTATTGCCTCCCCCAATATTCAGATCAGTGCAATTTTTTCATTTGCGACATATCTGGAGAAATGTTTGACCTAAATTTATAGATCAACAATGAGCTTTGTATGGAGACGCAATGTTGGTGTCCATATGAGGGACATCAACGTGGTGGCCGTAAACCAACAAAACACCAATCACTTAATTTAATCCCCTATGAAAGGAGGGGCCGCGTCAGAAAATTATCAACACTTCTTTGACGCCCCCTACTGCTTAACTGTAGCGATCATATTTTGGTTCCAGCGTGACCGCAAAGCCGAGGCTAATTCAACGGGGGAGCAAGGGCGGGGTAGTCAGGTGGTGACACTTGCCGTTTACAATTTCGCCCGAATTCGAATCCAAGTTGGGACGCTATATGTAGGGCGAATTTATTGTTGGTCCCTTTCATGCTTTTAAAAGATTTTTCTCTCAGGGTGCTTCTGTTTTGCCCCTCCACAAAAACCAACATCAAGTTTCAGGTCATTTTGCCTATTGAAATGACCCAAAATGGAACAGTTTCCTAACCCTATAAATCCGCTAAAATTCAGAGTCATTCGGCGTTCGGCGGCCGTTCTGCGTTCTGCAAAATACCCCTAACGCTTGACTTGGCATGAATGTAACTCCCTTTAGGGCACTTTAAAACAAGCTGGTACAATGCTACAGTGCTTGTTTCGTTCGTTTCGTTTTCGTTATGTAAATATAGTCTATTGTATTTGTTCAAACTTTAACTTACGAGCACAGCTCAGGATCCGTCTTGTCTGCAGCGAATCTTTGACTGAAGTTTCTTGGACAGTTGTTTGCATCAGTGGCGAACGAGCTGCTGCATGGCAAGCTCCCCGACGAAGTAGTTGTTTCTTTCCACCCACCTTTCAAACAATACACATTTTCATCGAAACTTGAACGAACAATGCTCTTGATCTGGCTTTGAGATAGTAAGTCATTTTCGTCACAAATATCAATCGTTTTAGTTACACATTTGGTCAATGTCTCGAACTTGGTCCTAAGGATGTAAAATGGAAAATATAATCTCAAAAAGATATCTGAATAGAAGAAGCAACATGTACTTTATACGTCCGAAATCGAAGGAAAGCATTGTTATTTAGCGCATGGTATTTTCTATAAAGTGTTGGTTAACGATGCTTTCCAGACGTCGCTCCCCGGGGGGTACTTTTGGGAATTCTTGGTGGGGGTGTGCCGCCCGGTTCTCCAAATCCTGACCCTATTTCAGACCACAAAAATATAATTTTCCACACCCATTTTCAGACCAGACCTCTAAAATCCATATCCGTTTACAGACCTGGCCTTTAGGCAGAAATTATGTTATCATTACTTAGAGTAGAGTGCAAGCCAAAAAATTTCAAGTCCATTTCGAATTCGCGTATTTCTTTTTCTTTCTTACTCATTTGGAATTGAAACGATAAATACGTTCATACACTCCCGTAGTTCCCTCGAAAACTAAAACCGATTCCAAACCAAAATGGGCTAAGCGTATACCCGTTTTCAGACCAAAACGGCGCAAAAACCCTACCCGGGGGCGGCACATACCTATATAACATATAACTTATATAAGGGAGTAATTCCCCCGCCCCCCGCTACCGGACGTCGCCCCATGTATAAAATTATCCAAGACAGTCATGGATTCTGGATTCCAAGCTGTGGATTCCGGATCCCAGGGACTGGATTTCAGACTCCTTGTCAGTGGAATTTGGATTCTGCTTGTAAACGTTATCGTTATTCCGAATTCCTTGAGCTGTCAATTCCGAATTCTTAAGTCCTGCATTCCAGTTTCCACAAGAAACTTTTCCCGGATTCCGAAATTCTGAATTACCTCTTACATGGGGCGACATACGATTTTGAGATAGGAAAGGTCCAGCGAAAGTATCAGCGACTTTGATAAACAAATAGTCCCATTTTCTAGAACTTGACATGTGTACTGTTCGTTGTGATCACCCATGGGTGTTAGTAAAACGCAGGGCCGGGGTCGGGGCCTGGGCCGAGGTCTCTCTCTTTTTTTTGAATGCCGTTTTAGGGTTAGTCTCCCACGAACGTTCGTGGGAGAGGAATGATTGCGTGACGAACCCCTAAGAACGTTTGCGTGGGAGGTTATTTTAGGGTTAGGCTTAGGTTAGAGTTAGGGTTAGTGTCAAACCCTAATCCTAACCCTAAAACAGGTCCGCCCCGCGTTTTACTGGCACCCATCACCCATGGCTTTTAGGAGAAAGGACGTACAGCAGGTAGTCTGCTACACAGCTGTTTTTGTGTCATCACGCAACGCTCCTCCCCACTAACGCGTTGCGTGACGACACTAAAAACGGCTGTGTAACTGAGACTATACGGCAAGCAGCTTTATAGTTAAAGTATTGTACCTGCAGTTTCCAGGGTGTTTCCGAAGATTTTTGAAAAGGTCCGTGGTGCATTTACGAGCATCACAGAAATATTCCATAAATGTGCATTTGGCAACATTAGGAAGATATGCCTTACTTCCAGAAAGGACGGCTAAAATTAAAGAAAATCGACGGGGGTCATTACAATTGCTAAGGTAAGGTAAATGTACATGCACTGTTACTGCAATATTTCAAGTGCAAAATAGTTACGAAATAGCGTGCGAGCAAGCTCTCTGCGGAGGGGAGGGTGGGGGGGGGCGGTTCGTCTCACTTGGGATGTTCAGAACAGGATTTCCGCAATATCACTTAGTGGTGTGCGCGGAGAAAAATATAACTATGAAATTGACAAATGCCGTCATAACGTTTGTCGCCTCCTTTAGGGTCAAACGAGGCTTCCAGGTGTTCTGTCGTGAATTGTAATACCTGTCGAAAATTTGAATCATAATTAGCGAGAACTGTAATAACCAAACTATCGTGAGTTGTAATAACACGTTGTCATAATTTGTAATAAGCCGACCTGTCTTGAATTGTTATGTAACACTTTATCGTATTTTGTAAGACTTCCTGTTTTGGGCTTATCTACTGTAATTTTCCTGTCAATCAAAACTGATATTTCAGCTGTCTGATTTGGCCAGCATTGTGGCAACGACTAAGTCATCCGACCGACTACCTAGTGAGCTTATTCGAAACAGTCAACCAACCAGCATACTGAGCAGCTATTTGTTACTTCCACCAATATTGATCGCATTAGGGGCCATTAAAAAAATTCTAGGAGGGGGGGGGGGGGGGGGGAAGGGCCCGGGGGAGGGGGAGGGGGCGCCCCAAAAAAAGACCACACCCACAATTGGCCCCGGGGGCAAAAAATATATTTTGTTTGCCGGTTTTTTTACCCTGACTTTTGGTGAATTTTTGGTGGGGTGTATNCTGTAGTAAGGCTTAATTTGGATTATTCGAGAAGGTAAGCACTAATCTGGTATATTCATCGGAAAAAGATACATCCAGTTAGTGAACTTTATTGCTCGTACTTCAAAAAGTCAACAAGAGGAAGTAAAGGCTAGCATAGTGTTGAAACTTTATGGGAAAAACATCTCTTGCCACCCTACGAAGAAAAATTCTTTATGAAAATCTTATAACAATCTTATAAAAACTACACTCAAAACGTCTGTAAAATATTCATAAAAATAAAACGTCCACATCAATATTATATAAATTCAAATTTCCGGCAAAACCCTTCACAATTCAGAATTCTAAGATACTAATTAAAAACTAAATATTATTATGTCCACGATAGAAAACTATTTACAATTGTGAAAATTTAAGAGTGGGAAAAGGAAAATCAAGCATTACTCAGAAAAAAAAACTATCAAAAAAGTAGGCCTAAAATTATGAGTGCAGATGTAGACCAGCTACAGCGAAAGTGAAGTCTTCTGAGACCTCACGTGATTTGAATGGATATCTAGAACCTCTGACGCATCTGTGTACAGTTCTTAATATAGCAAATGAGAGCTGTATTCGAAGCCAGGAAATAACGCTGGCGTAGGGTTCATTTCCGTATACTAAATATTTGTAAATTGGAAATTTTCAAACTGTTGTAAAAACTGTCCTCAAGCTTTATTTAGGGGGCTCTAATTTTCTAGGTCACTTCCGAGTTGTCCCAAGCAAGGCTAAGTGCATAGTCAGTGATATGTATTAAATATTTTTTTTTTATTCTGATGCAAATGAAACTCATTACGTGACAAGAAAGGTTTCACTTAGCCTCGTTTTGAATGTGAGGGTTTTAGGATCTCGGAAATGGCCAGTGAGCCTGTGACCTGTCGAGCCTCAGTCATTTCGTTATGTATGAGGGAAAACAGAACTATCCTAAGTATCTTAGTATTTTTGGTGAATAATTGTTCATTTGCAAGACTTGTGTAAGAAATAGCATGATTTGTAGTGATATTAGGCATAAATACCTAGAGTAATATAGGAAATATCACAGTGGTACTTATGCCAAATATCACTACACTACCGCTTATGATACGGCCACTAAAATTACACAGAGTAATGTTCTCATCTTTTCCAAAATCTAGGCATAATTTATTTGTAACGTCATTACGACGTTATATTGTTGAATTGATTAGCAAAATCCAGATTCCCCTCAGAGTAGCCATAAAGCGAAAAAACCTTGATAAATTAAGGTGTCTGATAAAATAATATCAAGAAGTTAGCTAACACATTAATGACCTTCAAAAACAGCAGTTATGTCATAATAAAGTTTTATATTACGTAACTTAGGGAACTGGAACCGTCCGCCATCTTGGATCCGGCATTTTGAACTACTTACTGTAATGTACCTAAAAACCGTTTTAAACGAGTTAGTCGTCATAGAAATAATTCTATCTGTGTATAAAAAAATGCACAGGAAGCAAAATAATCCACAAGTTACAAAATTCCGAGAGAGATGAACCCTGCTGAAAACTTAACCCGGCAGCTGCCATTTGGTTGTTATAAATTCACGTTTTTTTTCTTCTTAAATTTAAGTCACTAGAAAGCCTGTATTACATTACATATTTACCATAAATTTGAAAAAATAATTCTAAATTGAGTGTAACATAATGATTCAATAAGTTAAAATAGAAAAGAAACGTTATTTTATAGGAAAAGTGCAAAATAACAATTATAATAATGATAATAAAAAATGGCTGTCAAAACCCGGTTGCCATGGTAACGTCAATGTTAGGCTACACGTCATGACAACTCTAAAATGTTCCCAGATAATTTTTAGGAAACGTCGCTAATTTTCGCGTTAAGGTCGTTAAGCCCTTGAACGGCTTTGAAATTATTCATTTTTTACCGTTCTGAATAGGGTTAGCCCAAATAGTGACCTACATCCAATTTCTCCCAACAATAACACTACCTGATCAAACAGACAGGCCATGAGAATTAGTGAAATGATCACCACAGATGAAATGTTGTGATGTCAGAACAAATTTTCTCTAGCAGTACCATAAAGAATGTATGAAGAACAGTGTGGAGAAGACGCATGCTGATTTTGGGGCTTAAAGGGTTAAGGAGAGAGTGAATTTTTGTTCCATGTCATTAATGATTTCCTTGTTGGGCATCATCTTAGTTTCGCTAGACAGACTGTTGATATCGCCCAACGCAATCACAAGTTTGTGGTTACTTATTTTTGGCTGGACTAAAGCTTTAATTTTATTTGCTTTAATCGTACAGTTCAAGTGACGCAAGGTTGCATAAGGGAATCGGAAACGCAGCCCAAATGAAACGATGGGATTTGGCAAGTTGGAAAGACTGGATCCAAATTTATTTTTTTAACGCAAAACAGTTACTTGTTTTTACATTACGAAACATTATTATCTACTCTGCTTAAGAATCCACTTAGACGGTCGTAAAAAAACAAACCTAGAAAATGAAACACTGCTCTTCTATTTAAGATCTAAACAAAGAAAAACAGAAACAGGAAATAAAACAGCAGAGCCTTTGCAACGCCCATATTCATCACAGCGGTTGCAGGACTGCCGCTGTAACCGTAACACTGGTCATTACCAATCGCCCCCGGGTCTCGATTGTCCTTGCAGAAAGGATTGTAGTCACTAAAGGCCAAATCTAACATTTCTTGTACAGTAGACGGTAAGGTACAAGCCGACGCTATGAGATTCTTCATGCACTTCTTTGCTTTGGCATTTTCCCTGTTGAAATTGAAAAAAGGGCAATCACAATGTCCAATTATTAAGATTGAAGTAGAGGCGGAACAAAGTAGAAGGGTGTGTGTATGTGTGTGTGGTTGGGGGAGAGAAGGAGAGAGAAAGAGAGGAGGCGAGGGTGGGGTTAGTAACTGCATCAAGAAGCACTAGATTTAGAGCGTTGGTTGCCAATAGCTTAGGAATACGATAGATGCAATCAAAGATTTAACTCACGAGCACAGATCCGGGTCCGCCTTGTTTGCAGCAAACTTTTCATGAAAGGTTCTCAAACAGTTGTCTGCATCAGTGCTGAACGATGGCGCACATGGCGAGCCAATCGTCGGCATGGTTGGAATCGCGTTTCCACCTTCAAGACACATGATATTTTCTTTATAGCTCTCGCGGATAATATTGTCGATCTGACTTTTAGACAGTACACTTCCGGCACAAGACTGAGCCGACTTGGTTGCACAGCTGGTCAGGACATAGAACTTTGCGCTGAGAATTCAACATGGAAAATTTACCATTACTACATGTAAGTTCATAGTTAATGAATAATATTAAGCAACAGATGATAAAATAACAAGTATTGGTGAGGTAATATAAGCACTGTGAATTGGCCTACAGTCAACTCACGCTAAAGATGATGTTACACGAGACGATTTACAACGACGATTTTCAACCCAACACAACTTGGCAATGTTGGAACAATGTTGTAACCATTCGAAACAATGTCGCAGCAATGTTGCCACGCTGCATTGCGCTAAAAATCGTCGCTGCAAATCGTCTCGTGTAACATCACCTTAAGACAAACACCAAATACTCCCAGTTTCGAACTTTTTCTCCTACTGAGCCGAGTTATATGTGCGTGGTATGGTCATTCACCATCTAGGCAGAATGGATAAAAATGGATAAAGGGTGGTCTGACACTTTCTTTTATATGGACACTTTCTATAGCCCGATCAATTTTCATATTAACAGGGTGTCCGTATTGAAAGGGTTGACTTTAGGAAATAATGAAGGGGCTTTCCGCAGCGACAACGAAAACTGTTCGTAATAATGAGGTGTCCGCATAAAGCTGAAGCCCATAAAGCGTGGTCTGACTTAAACCAAATTAAAGCGATCGATACAATAACAACTTGACAGCAAAAAGTTCGCTAAGGATTAAACATCGACGACTCTGGGTACAACAGGGAACTTAAGCAAGGACGACGACGACAGCAGTGAAAAGGTCGGCAAAAAAAATGAATTAGCGTTCTTTCAAACTTAATCGCGTCTAATTGGACCCGCTCAATATGTCAAATACAGGCAACTTTTCCTGGAGTTGAATTCTTAATGATTTTATTCAGGTTCAAAAAGAGAAAGGAAAATTCGTCGTCGCATGTCCACGTCCTCCATAAAACGGCAAATTAGGAGGTTTCACGTCGTAGTCGTGCAGTGGACGTGAAAGAAATGTACTAAAAAGCATGATGCACGTGCAGAGCTGTTGTTTTGATCATTAAACCTATTGTTTTTTGAAGTCGTCGTTGTGGTGGTCGTCGTAGTTGCTTAAGTGCCCTAATGTGTTATTGTGGGGAACGATCGAATCTGCGATAACCACTGTACAAGACACCGAAAAAAAACGTAATTGTGACATTCTTTCCGAAACAACCTTAATACTGTACCTGCAAGTTCCATTAGGATCTCTCTGAAGTCCTTTAATGAAATCGGTGTTGCATTTACGAGCCGCACAGTAATACTCCATGAATGTACAGCTCCCTACGTCGGGAAGAGCTGCTTTACTTCCAGAAAGAACAACTAAAAAGAAACCAGATGGGTGACTACGGTGACTTGGGTGACTAAGATGACTATGGAGACTTGGGTGACATGGATGACTTGGGTGAGTAGGGTGGCTTGGTTGACTAGAGTGACTAATGTGACTAGGGTAATTTGGGTGACTAGAGTGACTAGGGTGACTATAGGGTGCCTTTCAATTATATCTGTATTTCCTTAAATCTGTCCGTTTATTATTGTATTCAATCGGTAACACCATATATAGAAATGGTAATTAACAATTATTCCTCGAGCCCGAATGGGCCCTGCGTCAATAGCCCATGAGGTCGGAGGCCGAATGGGCTATTGACTCAGAGGCTATGAGGGCGAGGGAATAATTGTTTTAGTAAAATCCAACTACTTGGTCAAAAATATCGAGACAAAACAACTTTAGATAGCAAAACGCGATTCAGCCGCCATTGTTTTGGTTTTCAAAGCCGGAGCTTTTCGCTACTTGTGGGCATATAGCCTAGTAGTAGCTCAACCAATCAGAACTCAGCATTGATAATAGACCACTAGAGGATTTTTCTAAAACTAAATAAACTTGTTTTTGTTGTTGTTGTTCTTGTTGGGTAACTTGGGTGACTACAGTGACATGGGTGACCAGGGTGAACGATCAGGAGCTCGGGGGTGGGAAATTGTCTCTTTCTTTGTTCCTGGGGGTGGGGAATAGACCACCAAGAAAGAAAAAAAATGGAAATCCCCGTGTGCCCGGGGGCATGGTTGCAGGTCAAATTAAACCATGCATTACGAGAGGTTTTTCAGGAGAAAGTAGCATTTTCAGTAGGTGGGTAGCTAGACAATTTCTTTATTAGCAAATCGAGGTGGTTCCACCTGTCGTTGGAGCAGAATTTAAGACAGTAAATTGAACTTTAGGTTGTAAAGATGCGAAGATCAACCAGCATAGGCACAACGTACAGTCGAACCAACCGTAAGCGACCACTTAAAATGCGAAGATTCAGCGGTCGCTTCAGGGAGGTGGCCACTTAGGAGAATCGACCCTCAGATAGTACAATATGCGTCACAAGCTCCCCTTTGACTTCAGCCCGGGATCAAGACAATTTTATGCTTAGGCAAACAATGCCTAATCAACCCACTTGAAGACTCAAGAACTGTACAGTATCTGAAATGATCCCCGACCGCAAATGATCCCTAGACCGCAAATGATCCTCGACCGCGAATGACCCACTTCGTCGAGCGTAAATGATCCCGTGAAAAGTGGAGGAATAATGGATTTTAGGGGTGGATGGTAAATGGTGCCGAGAACTTGAATGGGTCAAACAATGAAATGAATTAAAACGATAAATAACCGTTCTGCTTCTTTAGGCAATTCCCTGTCTTTTCTTTTTTTAAAGAGCATTGATGTTTCTTTGATGTGAAAATTTAAGACAGGAAGGACATCAAGCAGGGAACTCGAAAGTTGAATATTGAATAACGCGTTAAATGTTTAATATAAAGTACAAACATTAACCACAAAGGACTGCAAAGGACCGCCAACGAATATGCCGAAGAACGTAGGATCTATAAAGACCTGATCAGCAAAAATGAAAAGTAGACATATTAAATTCTGCAAGCAGAATACTGCAATGCTGATCGTACTACGTGAAAATTAACTCTGCAAGACATCAACACGACACCGAAAGAACTCAACAACAACAAGTTTATTCAGTATTACCATTTTGTACAGGTGTTACCGATTAAAATAACATTAATAAACAGCTAAGTTTAAGGAAATGCAGATATGATGGAACGGTAGAATTAACTATGTTTCTTTCATCTTTCAAATGCTTGAAAGATGAAATTTGCAGCTAGCCTGCTGATATGTGAATCAGTATTGTTAAAAGAAAACAGACTTTATCATGGATATTGTAATTTGTAAATAATGTATTTCGGACGTTGATTTTAATAAAAAGAGTCTTTCTCAAATCATTGTATTGATCACAGTGAAATAATATGTGCAGTTCATTTTCAACCGAATTTTGGTGCAACAACTCAAAACAGAGCGGGATTGTAGCCATAGACAGCTGTTTCGCCCTCTTTGGGGCTCGTCAGTATGGCGTAACAACCAGAGATCAGGCTCTGGTGAAAAGTATCCGCGCACTCTGATCTAGGCTCTGACCTAGAACTCTCAACACGCACAGAATCACGCCATACCACGTGTCTTCTGGGGGGCAAGAGGTCCAAGTGTTAAGTTCATGTCTCGCAGAGAAAATAAAAAATTGGCCAAAACCAACCTATAAAACATGGACAAAACCATGCCAAGAATACACAAAGTACAAGCATTAACCACAAAGGACTGCAAAGGACCGAAAACGAATATGCCGAAGAACGTAGGATCTATAAAGACCTGATAATAAAAAAATTACATAAAAAATTTAAACGAACTGAATATTGCTACATTTGGCTGGCCATAATAAGCTTCGAAAATTGTACATGAGTACAACGCTCATCCAGAAATTTTTAGCCGTCCTCAAGTAATAGAAAATTCTCGGCAATATTTGCTTCTCGATCAAACATTTCAAAGAAAACATTTGTTGGGTGCCCCTGCTTACATAGTGGTTCTTTTTCATATATATCTACCTGGAGTTTTGAAAACCGGGTTGCCTGAAATCTTAAGTCAAGTCCAGCACATTGCAGGCAATCTTTTAAAACTTAATTTGCTTAAAGCCCTGATACTTTTAGTGTAAAAATAACAATCTCGCTCTTCAGGACTAACCACCCTCACCTCTTAACCATGGGCTTCAAATAACTTCCTGGAAGTGACAGAAATCAGTGCAAATTCCAGAAAATTTGCAC